AATGGAGAATTAAATAATGACCTGGTAGGAACTTCTTTAGTGAGGTAACACAAGTAAACAGGGTCCCCTGCCACTGTGTTCTTTTGGGCATGAGCACCTGAAAGGTGGTACCTTGGAAGAAGCCTGATATTGGCTGGAACAGGGTTTCTCAAGAGTCTCTGGGGTAGCGGTAGGGGATGGAGAGTTCCATGAGTCAGGGACCTCTTCCCCCAGAGGGCACAATAGCTCTGGGATGGTATCAAGAATAATTCTATTCATATAAGCTCTCCAGATTCTTAGAAAACTTGAGAATTCTTAGGAATCCCAAGAAAACTTGAGAAGCAGCACTGCTGAGTTACCCTCATAGCTGACCTGCAGGGCAAAGGCTAAGCTGGAAGACACCACTGCACCCCACTCACGAAGACCTGAAGAAGACCTGTCTCCTTAAAGTCACACATCGGACTTTCCTTACAGAATGCCAACAGCAATTCTGTGGCAGGCTAGAAATACAGGGTGCATAATTAAGAGGGCATGAGAAGAGACAGGCGCTCCTCACTCCAAAGTCTAATTTGCCTTTCCAACTGACTGAGCATCAGCAAAGTTCAATACAATCAACGAAGTCAAAATTGCCCACAGAAATTAAACATGTTTTTCTAAGGATATCTTAAACACGGATGTTAAAAACAAATAAATTAGGTCCATTTAGGGCCAGAATGTCTGAAACTTTTGAGTTTTACCTTTTAATACACACCTCTCTCATTTATAAATCTAAACTATATACCTCATAAAAGCCCTCACAATTTCATTTACAAACAGAAAATCTTTAATGTAAGAGAATAAGTAAACCTACCCATGTATTTTCACTTGTTTTTGAAACTTTACTTAAATTTTAAACTTTGCTTAATCTTTGTTGTTGTTTAGCTTTTGTTTTTTGAGACAGAATTTCTGTGTATAGCTTTGGAGCCTGTCCTGGAACTCGTTCTGTAGACCAGGCTGGTCTTGAATTCACAGAGATTTGCCTGCCTCTGCCTCTTAAGTGCTGGGATTAAAGGTGTGTGCCACCAGTTACAACCTTTAATTCATACGAACTTATATGTAGTCAACTGCGACTTTCTTGAGCCGTCCTCCCTGTCCTTAGTATACATCATCCTTTCCCTAAGTCTCTCTACCTAAATACTTAATAAACTCACTAGCTTTGCTTCACCCTGGCTCTGTTGAGGAACCAGCTTAGCTGAGTGAATCACTGAGAGGAAGTGGAGCTCCTGGGGCTCTGGGAGGCAGTGTTGGTGGCAGAACCAAGCACATACCTAGCTGCTGTGGAAAACAAGTGGCTTCCAGGCCACCATCTTCCTTCTTCCCAGGTCCCTCAGGCTGAGAACAGGAAATTCACTTTTATATCACACTATTTTTTTTATCATACTTGATGGGGGCCATGGGAATGGCAATTAATATTTAACATGATGGAAGGACAGAAATGTTCAACCCTTTGAAAGTGAGGTGTTCCTAGTGGCTACTGTGCCAGCTTCAAGACAGAGGATCCCTGGAGAGAGACAGACCCTGCAGGACAAAGGCCCACCTGGCAGGCCCTGGGGAGGCTCATCTACAGCATGTAATGACCTCTCTGTCCAGGCAGCTAGAAAGCACCCTTGCTCACTCAAAATGTCCTAGAAAGTGTGCTCTTTTAGGACAAGGATCTTAATGACAGACAATCAAAGAGTTTTTCTTGTCCTCTCTTCCCAAGTAAAAGGTGAGGTAGTCAGGCAAATCACCCTGCATAGTATGTTTAGACTGACTGGATGAGTGGGGTCAAAGCTGGATGCTGTTCTCATAAGCTCCCACTGACCTATGTGGCAGCAATCTGGCCATGCCAGGGCTCAGATGAGGCCTGTGGTAGGCAGAGTATCATGACTAATTTGGAAACAGAACATCATTCCACGGCTCTGGGCCCCTGACCATAGTTTAAGGTTATCAAGTTGGCCTTGAGGACACAAGACGATGGAGACCCCTGGGGAGAGGGAAACCGTTCTGCCTAGAATTTTAGGTAGTAGTCACTTAAAGCCTAAAGGAAAGGGGTACCATGCGACCCCAAAAGAAGGTGTCTCAGATGGAAGTAGGGATGCAGGAAGTAGAGGTGATTGTGCCTGTTGAAGAATGACAGTCAGGAGCTCATAAGTGCCCAATAGTAAGCAAACAGTCTTTATCACCCCACGAGGTGCTCAAAGGACTGAACAGGCCATAAAGCTGGTGAGAGGGATATGAAGTTCAGGTTTAGTCCTGCCCTAGTTCCCATGGAAACGTCACTGCTATAGCCACAGCCTTTCTGAGCTAGGGTCTCTGAAAACAAAGTAAGACTCCAGAGTCCTCAGCAGGAGGGGCACACAGTGGGCGGAGTGACAGTGGGACAAGAGGGCATGAATACAAACAAGGCTTCAGAACCCAAATGTGACTTGGGTCAAGTTTGTACAAGGATGCATTGCTTATTAAATATAGTCAGTCTCCATGCTTAATTTTCAGCAAACTGCAATGAAGCTGGATTCTGTTCACTATGAGCAATATAGGTTAACTAAGTAATAAAACTTCACACAGCCCTTGACTTGGCACAGTTTTCCCTATATTCAGGCCAAGAGCTGGGAAGAAATGGCCTTTGGCATCCTGAATTTGTAAGTCTAAAATAAAGTGACAGCAACAGCCTCCATTTTGCAGTAACTAGAGAGCACCCCAGCAGCAGCCACCTCTGGGGCAAGCTGCTTCCCTGTGATGAACCACATTGAGTTGGCTTTCAGGGAAGGGCCAGGCACTCTCCAGAGAATATGGGTTGTTGGTTTCCACCTCTCCTAAGGAAGGGTGCAGTTCCCACTGTCCAGGCTCCAACTGACTGGATGGCTCCAGAAGTGAGTCCATGGCTCCCCTACAGGCTGAATGGGTGACGAAGAGCAAGCAGGGGTAGATTTATCTCACAAGTATGCAGCCGTCTGAGAACTCCTCTTAAGAGCAGAAGGCAGTATGTATATCTGAATTCACAGAGAAAGCCCATATCAGATGCCAGAGCTAGGCAACTAGGAATCCCTCTTAAGAGGAATGGAGAAGACTTGCAGCCCATTCTTATGACTGAAGGCTGAGGGTGGGGAAGAGAGATGCAACCGTGCTGCAAGCAGTGACAAGGCCCAGAGAGGAGCAAGTCAGACGGGAGGCCCAATAGACAGGGACTGGTGGTCCCAAGCCACCAGTGGTGACGTAGCTCAAGTCTGTCCAGTCTTTCTTCTGGACCCTTGAAGAAGGTGTACAGAGCACATCCACCATCAGGGCATGGGAAAGGAGGTTTCATGAGGCAAGAAGTCCTGAGATTTTCCTATTACTGGCATAAGTCAACCTCTTGGGTGTGGGTTGGCCTACTTTCTCATGGGAGTTTTGAGTTTCTTTTCTTGCCAATTTCCGCCTCTGTGGGACTGGTCACTACTACGTCCAACACTGCTCTTCGCCATTCTACAACCTTGAAGCCTCGCTTTCCATTTCCATCACCTCCTGATGCTGTGTCTCCCACAGACCGGCCACTGCACATAGCACTAGGCTGTATCACAGCACCCTGGGACTGGTATAAAAAAAAAAAAAAACCAGCTTCCGGCTCATAGGTTAGGCAGTGAGCACAAATCACACAGCCCAGTTTTGGATTCTACTAATGTCAAAGCCTGAAGCATGCTAGAGACTCCTGGATGGCCAGGGTCTTGTTTGCATCCTTGGAGCTAGATAGCATTTTGCAAGACCCATATTAGAAATGAGATAAATACTTGTGTGATGTCTGAATATGCAACTTTTCTTGCTAGAGTATACTTTGTCGTCTGCCCCCCACCAAGCCCATCAGTTTAAAAAATGGTCCTCAGTGTAGTGATGCTGAGAGGTGGTAAGGCCTAGTGGAAGTTCATTACCAGTGCTGTCCTTGGAAGGAAGGAAGGTTAGAAACCCCTGACCTTGAACCATTATATTTTTTCCTATCTAATCATGTGATCTCTTATTCCTATGCATGCCCTCACTATTGTGGGCCATCTATCATAACGTTGTTGACCTTATGTTGACCTTATGATGTTCAAGCATCATGACCTTGAACTTTCAGAACTTGAGCTAAATAAACCTCTTTTCTTTATAAAATTACCCAGCCTTGTGTATTTCCTTAGAATTAAAAATGGTCTCAGGGTGGCAGGGGTAGGTAGATAATGTTTCCTGACATAAACTTAACATGGGAGGGAGCAACTGGCCCCAGGGCAAAGATTCTCCCTTCCTCCAGCCTTTCCACAGGACGTAACAGTCTTCTCAGAACACTGCTGTCAACCCATTACACTCTTCCCCAACACCATCCGCCACAAACCCCTGCTTGTTCAAAGTTTCCAGGACTTGTTCCAGGTACTATTCACAAATCCTCTGGTCTGGCCAGGCAGTTCTCCTCATCTCCTAAATGAGCTTACATTTTGCTACCTGTTATTGGCACATCCCTTCCTGTTCTAGCTATCTGGGTCCTCTCCAGAAGAACCTGACTTCTCCGCTCTTCATCCAGCTCCCAAAATCCTTTCCAACTCACAACAGCAGACCAATAATGTTACCTTCTTATTTGGCTTCTCACTGTCACTCCTATCTGCATGTATTCTAATTTTCCAACTACATTAAGGTCTCTCTTTTTGTTTTTAAAAAGATTTATTTATTTTTATGCATAACAGTGTTTGCCTGAATGTATGTATACCATGTGTAGGTCTGGAGTCCATAAGAGGGTTATGGGATCCCCCGGAACTAGATTTATTAATAGCTGTGATCTGATATGTGAGAACTGGGAACCACACTGAAGTCTTCTGTGTGAGCAGCAAGTGCTCTTATCCACCACTGAGCCATCTCTCCAGCCTCCAAATTAAGATCTCGTTCTGGTAGCAACCACTAGCTATATTTGTAACTCTGCCATGGTGACTCTCTCTACACATCCCTGTGGATGCCCCTGGGCCTCACGTGCCCTGTGACTATTTCCATGGAAAAAGTTTTACCTGTAGTATCTGGATTGCAAGTAGGTAGAGCAGACGGCTTTGGAGACGTGACTTGCTGAACCAAAGTCAATGACCTTCACTCGGTATGGCTGTCTAGATGGATCTACCAGCATGATGTTTTCTGGTTTGAGGTCAGCATGGATAAGACCCAGGCTTTTGAGTTTCATCAGGGCTGTAGCTACCTGCTGGAGGACTGGGCGAATGTACTTGAGGGGCAAGGGGCTAAACTTGTTCTGTTTCAGAAAGTCATAGAGGTTCTGTTCCAACATCTCAAAGACTAAGCAGGTGTGATTCTTGTGTTGGAAGCACTCATAGGCCCGCACAAAGTTGTAGTCATCCGCGCTCTCTGTGCTCAGCCGGGCTAGGATGCTCACTTCAATCTGACCTTGCCGGGCATAGGAAGGGTGGTTCTTTAAGATCTTAATGGCCACAATTTCATTGGTGCCCCGTTTCCAGCACTTGACCACTTGCCCAAATGTTCCTCTGCCCAAAAACTCTAAAACCTCATAGGTGTTGGTCATGGAACACAGCACTTCATGCTGTACCAGCTGATAGTCGCCTTCGCTGTTGGAGCCACTGTTTTTGGAGGTGGCAGTGGATGTGGTGGCAGTAGCTACAGTGGCCCCGCTGGCATTATTCTGAATCATGGGTGGATGCTCTTCAATGATCTGCACGCTGCTTGTGTTCTCAATCTCCTCACTCTTTCGCTTGAGTCCACATTTTTGGTAGGTGTCAAGGAGGCTCACAGTGCTTCGACGCATTAGGTTATGTGGTCCGCCGAGGACTTGCCCGGTGACAGAAGTGCTACTTGCTGATGTTACAACTATGTGTCCAGTACTTCCTGGGAAGATGATGGTCTGCTCGTAAGGTAGGCTTGGGTTTGGGATTGGCAAGGAGGTGCTGACGGTTGTGGAGGCTGGCTGAGAAGGTGGTATGTTCTTGCTCTGGCTGTACGCTTTGCTATGGGAGCCGTACCCAGTCATGTCCCAGTTGGAACTTGGCTCTACTTTCAGTTTCTTCACACTACAGAAGGCACTTGATTGAAGGGTGTGAGGGGAGAAAACTTGCACATGTGAGGCCATACCTATGAGGAAAGAAAAAGGAAAAGTAAATATTTGAGTTACTCCTCCATGAATAAACTCCAATGATTCATTTAAACTCTGATCAGATTGCTCTTACACTTTAAAATAATCTTGAGGACTGGAGAGACAGATTCGTGGGTAAAGTACTGATGTGAAATATAAACACTTGAATTCAGGTCCCCAGAACCCATGAAAGCTGCACAGTCACATGCACATGTGATCCCAAAGCTCCCACAGCAAGATGGGCGACATAGACATGAAAGTTTCCAAAAGCTCATGGGCTAGTTAATATGCCATATGCAGCAATGGACAGCAAGAGAGCATCTCTCAAGCAAGGCCAAAGGTAAGGGCTAACACCTAGTGTTGTCTTCTGGCCTCTAAACATTTCTTGCATGCATAATGATTTTAAAATGCAGCAGCTTGAGAAAGCAAATCGATTCCACTCAGAAGCACATTCTAGTCGCCTTGTTTGTGAGACTAATGGTTCCCATGCTCTGTCATTAGACCTACCAATCTTAGGAGACTCAGTAATCGAGTCAAGAATCAGATACAGAACTGGGACTTGGTCCATCATTTATTTCTTGTAACTATACTTGTAACAGAAACCACTTCCTCATTCCTATTCAAGATGCATCTTGCTAAATCTGAAGACTGTATCAAGTACCCAGGTAAGTATTACATACTTAGCTCCTCCAAATAGTCAGCTTACCCTTCTCAATAGAACCTAAAAACCAGGTTTATCACTCCTAAGAAACATGTTCCCACAAAACCCCATCTCAGGGGCCTCTCATGATCGTCTGTGTTCTGGATGAGACATACTTGAATTCAGAAGAGTTTTATATGGATGATTTGGTGTTTAACTGCCTTAAAACATGCAACACTTTTCAGACAGGGCCAAGTAGCACCATTCAAGGACTTCTTGCTCACCTACTTTATCAATCTAGACATAACAAATTTCTCTAGAAAGTCCTCAGATTTCAGATACTGGGGACATGGCTCATTCTATATAAAGTGCTCACAATGCAGGCATAAAGGACTGAACATGATTACATGATTTGTAGCATTGACAGAGACAGAGAGACAGACAAACACAGGGGAGGGGGAGGGAGAGGGAGTGGGAGAGAGAAAGAGAGAAATTGGGTGCAACTTTGCCCACCTGGCACTGGGGAGGCAGAGATGGGTGTATTCTTGGGGTTTATTGGCCAGTCAGTCTAACCTAATTGGTGAGCTCCAGATTCAGAATCACTAAGAGTCCTCATCTCAAAAATATGTGGACTGTGATTAAAAGAGGCAAAGATGTTTACCTTCCACACACAGTGGAAGTTGAAAGAAAGAACTATGATTTCATACTGACATATCTGCAACCTAGATAATCTTGAAACTATTTAAGACCTTTCTGCAGTAGCTATATAATTTATAGTTGTGGTGATATTGGATACACACACACACACACACACACACACACACGATGAGAAAGGGAAAACCCTTAAAGGTACAAGAAGAAACAAACACCAATTACCTTCTAAGCTACTCTGATAACCATTTCATGTATGTGTATATGTGTTTGTGTGTTCATGTGCATACATATATCTGAGTATGCATGTATATGTGTATAGAGACCACAGGTTTTATAATGGGTGTCTTCTTCAATCACCATATTTTTGGAGACAAGTTTCAATGGATCCATAGCTCACTAATTCAACTAGACTAGCTGGCCAGCAAATCCCAAAGAGATCTTCCTGTCTCCACCTCCCCAGTGTTTGGGTTACAGATGCTTGGCTTTTTAGGTGAATGCTAAGGATGGAACCCAAATCCTCATGCTTATGTGTCTTTCTGAATAAGTCATCTCCCCAGCCTCACTACCATTTCTTACAAAAGCAGTTAGAAAGTGGAGAGTCTGTCAGACTCCACTGATACTTAACTATCTAGCTTCAGCTGCTCTCCGACCCCCCAGCACTACTTAGAGTGATGATTTAACAGCTTCCTCTTAACCCCATCTCTTGTCCCCTGACCCTCCCTCTCTTCAGCAGATCCCCACCTTCTATTTCGTCCAGAATCCCAAGGTCAGTCTCAAGTTCTGCTAGTCTCCTAATCTATATTCTCCCATTTTTCTCTAGAATCCTGTTTTTGCTGTTCTTTTTCCTTGAAGCTATTGATTCTCTCTGTTTATTAGACAGAAGTCTTTAGCTGGTACTGAATAAGGTTGTCCAAATGAATCACTGACCTAACTCCTCCCTTCTGCCTTCAAGTGTGTATGAATGCACAAACTTCCAACGTAAAAGGCAAGAGTAGCAGTCATAGTCCCCTCTTCACTCTTTCCTTCTTACCTGCAAATCGATGCTTGCTCATTCTTAATCCTCCCCCCAACATATCTAAATACCATAGACCTGTGTTCTTAAGGTAAATAACTTCCTAATTGCCTAATCCAGTGGCCCTTTCAACCCCTATTCTCCTTCACCTCCCTGCAGTATCTGACCTGACGACCACTTCCTTCTTGATGCTCTTATCTACACTAATGTGAATCCCTAACTGTCTTCCTCCTCCCCATGGTTAAGTACACAGGGTTAAGGCAGTTTCTCTTCTCCCTCCTTTAAAATGCTGGTGTTTCCAGTAGTCTGTCTCCTTTGAAGGGTATCATTCATTCAGACAGTTTAAGCAGTCATCTCTATGAAGGCAGCTTCCATATGGTTACCATGGACCAAGTTCTCACTTGAATGTTCCACCAGTAAATTTCTGTCTCCTGCTACATCAAAGATGATCTTCAAAGCTGAACTCTTTGTGTTTTCCCCAAAACATAATCATCTAATCCTCCATTCTAACATTTCCTTTTCTGTTAATAAAGTATTTATCTAGTTGCTTGGTTCCCAAACTGTGGGTTTACCTTGATGAGTCTTCATTACTTCAAAAGGCAAAAGATACACTCAGTATTGATAGATTTCTCCTTCCTTTAAAATGTCTTTTTTTAAAATTAAAAATATTTAAATAGCCCTATAAGGCAAAATGTCTCTTGTATCCAATTCTTTAATCCTGTTCTTTTTGCCACTCCCAATTTGAAATTATTACTTTTCTTTCTTTCTTTTTTTTCCCTCCAAGACAAGGTTTCTCTGTGTAGCACTAGTTGTCCTGGAACTGCTCTGTAGACCTGGCTGTCCTTAAACTCACAAATATCCACCTGCCTCTGCCTCCCAAGTGCACCACCACCACCCGGCTGAAATTATTACTTTTCAAAAGTAACCCTAAAGTAAATATAGGAACCTGATCTACCTGAATGATCTTTAATGTGCCTGTATCTGGCCACCAGATCTGTCTTACTTCAGAAACCTCTGAGCATTGTTCCTCTGTCCAAAAGCTTTTGGTGACGCCTTAGATTCCAGAAGATAAAGTTGAAGAGACAGTATACATCTTGGTCCCAAATTCCTGCTAGCTGCATCTTCAAGCACTGGTTTCCCAGAAGTCTCAAATCCACTCATCTTCCTAGAAGAGACTGCTGTGTACTTGCTTCTTTCACTCTCCAGCACATGTGCCTTCTGGAACAAAGTCACTGCTTCTCCAGTTTAGAGCCCCAAGCCTGGGTTTTTGAGACAAGGTCTCATAGAGTTCAGGCTGCCCTCAAACTCACTAAGTAGCCAAGGATGACCATGAACTTCTGATCCCCCCTGCCTCCATCCTCCCCAGTGTTAGTTAGGATGTGAGCCACCACATTTGACAAGTGGTTTCTCTCTTACATTATCTACATGTTTAAGCCATGTTTCCACAACTAGACTATATTCTGGCACCAAGGACTACAGTCATACCTCACACGTCTTTGCTTTTGTCTCATAAATTCTTTGTGTCTTTCCCAGGCCAAATTTAGAGTGCCTGGTGAGCACTCCTAACTGAAAAAAGTCAGTAACTGCTTTGTCACCAGTCACACATATCCAAAGAAGCTAGCCTGACTTGAAATTAGAGAAAAATCTGCCAGTGTCTTTCTACACAAATAAAGATTTTTAAAAAGCAAAAGAGAGGGCCGTGTATGTGGTCCATGACTACACTTGCAGTGTGTGGAAGGTAAGACAGGAGAATTGAGAATTTAAGGCTATCCTGGGTTATACAGCAAAACCCTGACCCAAAACAAACAAATCTCTAAACTCTAAAATGAAAAAAAAAAAAAAAAACTACCAAAGCAGAGGCTAGTCAGCTCCTGTCGTGGGCTGGGCAGCCATGCTCTGCTGTGTTCTGACTTCTTAGAGGCAGGTCTGGTCTAACCCTAAATCCTACTCTAGATCTGCCTTTACCCATGAGTCAACAGAGACTTCCCTTCTGGTTTGAAAGCTGACTCCAACCTTGACCTGGGTACTATGACTAATATGCCTGTATGTCTGACATAATTATTGTCTGACACGGTTATTTTAGTTTGTTATACAATCATATTTTCACCTGATTTTTATGTCAATATCTTCCTAATACTACAAGTAGAGAAAGTATCACTTAAATGTTCATATAGTTATAAATGCTATAAACCAGACATGTCCAACCTATGGCTCACAGAACTCACATGTTCCAGTACACCTATGAATGTGGCCCAACACATTTTAGATGACATTTTGTTACAATGTCTAAAGTTTTGACATCCTTGAAGCAATACAGAAAAGAACAATCCTTGGCTTTTAGCTACCTGTCCCTGGAAAAGACTACACAAAATTAACATCTGGTTCAGCTTCTGTCCCTTGAGTGTACCTTGCTCCTCTCTCTTTAAATTACTGCTAGAAGAAAAGAGAGGAGGAGGTGAGAAAAGAAATAAGCTGATTACACACAAAGCTCCAGAGGCATTCATTGGTCCCTGTTCTCACTGTTTTACAAGTTCTTGGTGGAAAGGCCACATTGCAGAGTGGAATTTTACAAAGGGGAAGAGGGTAGCTTATGACTTATTTGTTATTGGGATGATAGCCAAGGGTCATAAAACTGTAGAAATCATCACTGGCTGCCTTGGGTGACAGATGCCCAGGAACAGCAAGAAGACCTG